GGCACAACTAAGGGTTTATTTGGAGAAACTTGACCAAAGATGATGGATGATCGGTGTTATTGCTGTTTCGGTGGTGTTGTGGTCGTAGTCATGGTGAATTTATGGTGGTTCGGTTCTTAGTGGCTGTAATGTTAATATCCGCGGATGGTGGTGTCAGCGGTAGGAGGAAGAAAGACCAACAACTAGCCCTGTCGAAAATACCCGATACCCGAATTACCCGCCCGATTTTTTCGGGTATTGGGTAAATCGGGTATCGGGTAAATTTTTTCGGGTAATCCGATTTTTTTCAGGTCGGGTAAATGGTACGTTTGTTGGGTTTCGGGTATACCCGAATTACCCGAATTATTTTAATTTTTTTTTCATAGAGCTTGTACTCTGTAGCAGGTATTTGATCACGCTTACACTAACTATTATTATTGTAAAACATGAATCTTTTTTATTATGACAATATGACACTAACAATATTAAAAGTAATTGTTTATATATCATCATGTTCTTTAAAACTTAACAATTTTCTAGATTACAATTTTTATTGCAACTAACAAACTCATTATCTTGATGAACTTCAGAAAATGACAAAACTTATGGTTACAATTATCTTAAACATTTTAAACTTTTAAATTAAGATATTTAAGTATTTGTTTTTTTAACATCTTTATTAGATTAGATTAAGTTGTTAAAAAATTACTTGATATCTCAAATATTATTGGCTAAAAAATCTCAATTTTCAAAGCTTGAGTAACTTCGTTTATGCCTCGTTTGTTTATATAAACAAGACTAATAAAGCACGACATATTTATTCCATTAAATTTATTTTCAGGTGAAATTAAAAAAAAAATATATATATATTTCGGGTAATACCCGAATTACCCAAACCCGACCCGATACCCGATACCCGAATTACCCAAACCAGAATTTAATTTGGGTCGGGTAACGGGTATTTTTTTTAACATGAAAAACCCGAATTACCCGACCCGAATTACCCGAAACCCAAAAAAATTACCCGATCAACACCCCTACCAGCAACGCTGGCCATGACAACACATATGGTGATGATGTGGCGTGTAACGCCTGTGTTTTTGGGCTTGTCATTAATGTTGATATAATAGTCTAGGTTAACCTTTTGTAACCCGTTTTGAAATAATAGAAGTGTATTATTTGAGTATTATGTGTTATGTGCTTAATTGTGTGTCTTAATTTAATTAAGAATAAAAATAAGCGTTAAAATGAAATGTTAGATAAAGCCGATATCTATGGATAATGTTGTAGTAGTTGAAACGAGGTTTCCGAATATATAAAGAATGCCAAAATCCGAGTTATAACGAAGAAGTTATGGCCGGTCGAAGTTTTGCGACAGAACCGGCAACGCTGAATGACGTAAAAAGTAAAATTTACGTTAGAGCGATATTTAGCCTTAGCGATCTAAACGAAAGTCGTACAATACGTTAAACCGAGAGCATGCATAAAAAGAATGCCCAAATCTGACTTCGTATGAGGAAGTTATGATTTTCCGGAGTTTCGACTTAGCAGTATACAACCCGAATACTCGATTTGAGATCGAGCGGTTTTTAGCCGAAACTTTCTAAATGAGAATTGAAGATCTCATCGTTAGTAGTCCAACGGTAAAAAGACAGACGAAAACGGACGTCGGATGAAGAAGTTATGATTTTATAACGAAGTTTTCCTGTCCCGGCCTACTAAAAATAAATAATAAAAATAAAAGTCAAAATTAGCCGACGAAGTCTAAACGAAAGTTGTTGAGCGTAGTCTCACCTACGCGTGGATATAAAGAACGTCGAAAACGGAGTTCGTATGAAGAAGATATGAATTTCTGAAGTTTTTAAATAATTAATATTTATTTTTATTTCGGATAATATCCCGAAGCTGAGGAGTCATCGATCTGATCCGAAGGGTACGCCCCGCGTAGCCTTGCGTACGCCCAGCGTACCTCGGTCTTATGCGGTCCGAGAGCGAGCCACGATTCACCACCGAGACGTTGCCACCTGGAGGTCTGATCCGGAGTACGCCCCGCGTACTGGAGCATTACGCCCAGCGTAATGCGAGGATCAGCCCCTATAAAAGGGCATGCGAGGGCAGCCGATTTCTTTTGCCATTTTCTTCCTTTCTCTCATATATTTTCCTCGATTTGCATGCCAATTATATCCCGGAGCCCCGATATCATTCCCGAGTCCCGAGACAAGTTCCGAAGTCCCGAAGATCCCGAGAAGCGAAGTTTCCGAGCCGAAACTCTGCCCGCGAGAAGCCCAGTTTTCAAGGAAAACATCCCGGTTTTATCGGAAAAGTTTATTTTAAGAGTCGAGGTGCTGTCCGATCGTTTTCTTATCAAGTGAGTGTATATTGTTTTCTTCTAACACATAGATATGAAGTATTCTTGTAAAAATACGTGTTACGTGTTTATATATTATTTGTTTATGTGAACTAGTTGTTGAATGGATGTTTTGTACAGGTTTTAAGCTGTATATAAATGTATATATTTTATCTACTAATATGTTGGGTAGAACATGGGTAGACAGTTGGTGTGTGATAAATTAAAATGATGAGAGGCCTCGATGTTGTTGTTGATCTAGTCATCTAGCGGAGTATGGATGACGACCACATACTCATTCTAGACAGTCCAGTGGAACACTAGCAGACTCATAACCTGTAGGTGTTGTGAACGATATGTTCACCGGTGTACTCTATCCCCCTCATGGTTGCCTTTAGGACATCTATTGCTAAGGAAGCCCCTTTGCAGTAATGTCCGTCCCGATGAAAAATCCTAGATTAGGTCCCTTGAGATAGATGTTGTTTTAGGGACGTAAAATGAGGATAACGGAAATGGGTAATCGGGTTATTGTTGGTTGGTGAAATTAAATATAATTATTTATTGTGGGTCGAAAACCCTATATGCTCATCAGGCTCCCAAGCCTGACCCACTCAGTTTATTTGTATTACAGGAAGTGGCGCAAGGGCATAAGATGGATGAATCATCAAGTTGTTTTGTTTACAAGTCTGTATATGTGGATATTTGTTGAATGACTTGTAATGTTATCGTTTATGCTTTATGGTCTGTATCGGAACATGACATCCCGAGTTTTGATTATATAATGAAAATGCATCTCTTGATGAAATGCTTTGATAAAATTTTATTTTATCATATTTTGTTTTTGGGAACAAATTCCGCAACTCTTTTAAATCAAAAGAATTTACTCTGAAATTATTTAAAAAAAAGCATAAATGAAACCGGTCTTTTCTGGCCGAGATTTCGGGGATGTCACATGGCGGCTCAGATATCGGTGGCGGGGATGCTGGTGGTCGATGTGGTGGCAGCGGTAACTTCTTCTATTAAGGTTTAAAAAGAAGGTTCATGAGATGAATTATGGTTTCTTTAGAGTATGGAGAGGGTTTATAGAGAGATAATGTGTATGAATGGGTATTGATATAAATAGATGATGATTGAGTCACGATTACAACCATTAAATTACTTGATATCTCAGATATTATTGGCTAAAAAATCTCAATTTTCAAAGCTTGAGTAACTTCGTTTATGCCTCGTTTGTTTATATAAACAAGACTAATAAAGCACGACATATTTATTCCATTAAATTTATTTTCAGGTGAAATTAAAAAAAAATATATATATATATTTCGGGTAATACCCGAATTACCCAAACCCGACCCGATACCCGAATTACCCAAACCCGAATTACCCGAATTTAATTTGGGTCGGGTAACGGGTATTTTTTTTTAACATGAAAAACCCGAATTACCCGAAACCCAAAAAAATTACCCGATCAACACCCCTACCAGCAACGCTGGCGATGACAACACATATGGTGATGATGTGGCGGCTCAGATATCGGTGGCGGGGATGCTGGTGGTCGATGTGGTGGCAGCGGTAACTTCTTCTATTAAGGTTTAAAAAGAAGGTTCATGAGATGTATTATGGTTTCTTTAGAGTATGGAGAGGGTTTATAGAGAGATAATGTGTATGAATGGGTATTGATATAAATAGATGATGCTTGAGTCACGATTACAACCATTAAATGTGTCATGTTGTATTGGTTTGTGTGGAGTTGAACCATTAAACAATTTGAGAGAGTTTTGTACTAACACAACCCATTTAATTAGTGTGTTGTGTCAACTTATTTATTTTCTTGTTGAGTTTATATTGAACTCGTCTTGTTAACATGTTAGGCTTTAAGCCTTGTAAATGTAACATATAATGTCATATTAAAACAATAAACTCACATCGAGAAAACATAATCCCACCGAATAAGTATGAAATAACAAAGGGATGAAACAAAAAGTAGGGGTTTCATTGGAAAAATTATTTCCACTATCATGATTTTTGATAGACCTCGCAAATATATCGTGTCGGTTCGTGTCGAGTTGAAATATTAAACAGACTTGACCATAATCTGACCCTTTTAATTAACGTGTCGTGTCGTATCAACAAATTTATTTTTATGTTAAGTTCGTATCAGGTTAGCGGGTTAGGATTTAGATTTGAGTTGAAATTCTCAATATCAATCTAACCCATGTAATTTTGTTTTATGCCATTCAGTCTATTTAATTTTTTAAAGATAGACTTATGTTTTTAGGGTTGGCCATGGATATATATATATATATATATATATATATATATATATATATATTTTGATTAAAAAACTATAAAGTTAAGAATAAAATAATAATTTTGTACGTATTTAACAAGACAAAACAAACGGTGTCAATGAAAGACCTAATTGAAAACAAATTGAAACCCTAAAGTTGAAACGGGCAATATAAATTTTTCCAGGGATCCAATACATAAGTTTTATATAACTGGATGGACCATTTCTGGAATTTGCTATGGCTTCGATGTTTGACCGAGAACAGGAGACGTCCAACGGTGGAGATTTCTCGATAAAGAAAGTACAAGCAGACGGAAGCACAACGAGCATTCTAGAGGCTTCTTTAGTATCGTTTATATAAGGATCAATCAATCTGGGCCGTCCACATCTACCTCGTTAAATACTATATACCTCCCACCCTCAAATTCCAATCCCCTCTCTCAACACGAACATAGCCGAGTCAAGTCTTCCCGTATCGATCTACTTCTTCGTTGGTACGCTTCTGTCTATCTAACAGATTCCTTTTTTTTACACCTATCTGTTTATATCTTTCGGCGATCGGTTGATGAATTCGATCTGGTTTTGATCTTATTATGTTTTATCTTTGCGTGTTTGTGTTAGATTTGTAATTGAACATTGAAGATCGCAGAAGAAGAACAAGATGTTTGGAAGAGCACCGAAGAAGAGCGATAATACGAAGTATTACGAGATCCTCGGGGTCCCGAAGAATGCTTCCCAGGATGATCTCAAGAAGGCTTATCGTAAAGCCGCCATTAAGAATCATCCTGATAAGGGAGGAGATCCCGAAAAGGTTCTACTATCTAACCCTGACGTTTTATCTTTTATATATTTTTTGCTTTGTTTGTCTTTTTATACGTTGCTTAATCAATTCTTGGATGATGTGCTATTCTCAAACGTAATCTGGTATTTGTTGTGATGGTAGTTTGTCGAAGATGATCGTGTAATTTAATTCCGTATCTGGTTTAAGATTAGCTTCAATGATTTGTTTGAGGATGGGTAATTTAGACCCGAAACTTCTGAAGTGTTGATAAGTTCCAATAATTCCAGTCATTGAATTTCCAAAAATTGCTAGTTTTTATTTGAACTGAAAATACTTGGCTCCGTGAGTCTTCCCAAATAATGAATATTATAAACTGAATCATCAAATTGTTGGTTAACTGATGCCATGTCTTGGTAATAGCAAGTTTCAGCTTTTTCGTTCGTGTTCAATTTTCTACATTATATAGGCTAGATATCATATACATATTCTATATTACACTCAAGCCCTTGTTTATAACAACTCAGTAAAATGGTGTTTATCTTTGTACACGTACTCACATACTCGAAATTGTGTCTACTTTTTAGTTTAAAGAGCTTGCCCAAGCATATGAGGTATTGAGTGACCCAGAGAAGCGTGAGATATACGATCAGTATGGTGAGGATGCCTTGAAGGAAGGAATGGGTGGTGGAGGTGGTGGTCATGATCCCTTTGACATCTTCCAATCTTTTTTTGGTGGTGGTAATCCCTTTGGAGGTTAGAAATCTAGGACTAAGTTAATTTCAGAATTTGTTTTTTGATATGTAAGTTTTTTATTCTTTAACTCATTTGAAATCTTCTGTATCCAGGTGGTGGTGGTGGCAGCAGCAGGGGTCGTAGGCAAAGAAGGGGCGAAGATGTCATTCACCCCCTTAAAGTTTCCCTTGAAGACCTCTACAATGGAACATCCAAGAAACTATCTCTTTCACGTAATGTAATCTGCTCCAAGTGTAAGGGGTGAGTTCTCATCTTCCTACTTGTATTGGTTCCCTTTCTTCTTTCACCAACTCAAATTCAAATCTTGCAGAAAGGGTTCAAAGTCAGGTGCTTCAATGAAGTGTGCAGGCTGTCAAGGTTCAGGAATGAAAGTCTCCATCAGACATCTTGGCCCATCTATGATCCAACAAATGCAGCATCCTTGTAACGAGTGCAAGGGCACTGGTGAAACCATTAATGATAAAGATCGCTGCACACAGTGCAAAGGTGAGAAAGTTGTTCAAGAGAAGAAGGTTCTGGAAGTCCACGTGGAAAAGGGGATGCAGAATTCCCAGAAGATCACCTTCCCTGGTGAAGCAGATGAAGCTGTAAGCTTTTTTCATTTATAACTTGTCTGGATGTATAAAGTCATGTATATATTTAGATTATAGACTGATTTTGTTTATGTTTTTTGCAGCCTGACACGGTTACTGGTGATATTGTGTTTGTGTTGCAACAAAAAGAGCACCCTAAGTTCAAGAGAAAGGGTGATGACTTGTTTGTTGAGCACACGTTGAGTTTAACCGAGGCTCTGTGTGGGTTCCAGTTTATTTTAACTCATTTGGATAGCAGACAGCTTCTCATCAAATCGGAACCTGGGGAGGTTGTTAAGCCTGGTAAGTTTGTGAATTTCTTTAGAAAAGTTGTTAGATTTAATCTGTTTTTGGTTGTTAATTTATGATCTTTGTTTGTGTAGATCAATTCAAGGCAATAAATGATGAAGGAATGCCAATGTATCAGAGGCCATTCATGAAGGGGAAGCTGTACATCCACTTCACTGTGGAGTTCCCGGAATCATTGTCACCTGAGCAGTGTAAGGCGTTGGAGGGGGTGCTGCCACCTAAGCCTTCCATGCAGATGACAGATATGGAGTTGGATGAATGTGAGGAGACAACTCTGCATGATGTCAACATTGAAGAGGAGATGAGAAGAAAACAGCAGCAACAAGCTCAAGAAGCTTATGATGAAGATGAAGATATGCATGGTGGTGCACAGAGGGTACAATGTGCACAGCAATGAAGATGTGCATTGAAACATGGTGCTCGTTTATAGGGGTTCTGGGAAGATAATAATATCTGGTGTAATTTTTATTTTTTTGTTATGCTATACTATAGTGATAAATCCGGTCTATCTATTTTGGTAAGTGTTTAAGATGTATGGATGATTTACTCGTTTTGAACAATGATTTTGCGAAGCTTTTTCAGTCTTTCTGGATATCCTTGCCTGCTATTTTTATTACCCTTGTTTGTTTCCAAGGGTTTTATTTTATTTTATTTATTGTTTGTTTTTTAAAGTAGGTTTTGGTTTTGGTTTTTTTGGTAGTAAAGAAATATTTTTTCTGTTATATATCAGAGTAGTGGTAACTGTTTTCACACTGTCTCGATTTTATTTCCAGAGTACTGGTATCATGTTGAAGACTTTAAATCATGACAGTGACATTTAAAAACGGGTTAAAGGCTTGTGAGATTGTGTTTTAAAGAGAGAAAGTGGTAATGACAAAGTATAAAATTATGCGGGCTGTAAAAAGGATAGACAAAATTGCAAAAATGGTCCATGTGGGAAGATTTTTTTTTTTTAGTCCAAACCCCGATTTTTTTTGATTAATAGTCTTTTTGAGTTAAGTTTCGTTGCGTTTTTTGTCCCTCTAAATAGTAAAATGACTGTAATACCCTTGGGGTATTTATTTTCCATTTTTCTTTCATTTCTTTTTAAATCAAATATCAATTTATTTATTTTAATAATTAAAAAAATAACAAAGAGTCCTCTCTCTCTCTCTCTCTCTCTCTCTCTCTCTCTCTCTCTCTCTCTCCAATAATACGATCATACAAACCCAAATCTTGAGATGAACCGTATGAAGATCTGGGTTCAGATTCAACAAACATATACACTAAAACCCAATCTCAAACATGATTTTCTTTTAATAACATTTGAAGATACAATAGCAACAAGAAAAACATATCAGATTTTCTAGGTTTCTTGAAATCACATACACTCATCAGATTTTCTAGACTTCTTCAAAATACACATACACTTAAAACCTATATCCATCTTCTAGATCAAATTTGAAAAATAAGTAATTGAAATACAAATCCATCACCTTCAACCATCGACCCCCCCAAATCCATCTATTAGACCATTTTCGAAAAAAATAAAGCAAAAAAAAAAAAAACACTGGAAGAAGAAATCATCAGTAGGGAGGAGAAGAAATCATATCTAGCTTCCTTTTCTTCCAACGTTTCAATGGGGCAAGGAGAAACATCCAAGCACAGATAATGAAATCCTCCGAAAGCCCCCAAATTCGTTTGTGGCTTCAATTGATTCTGGCGATACCAATAGATTAGGAGAAACAACGAAGACACAAATGATGGTGGTGGTGTCGTTTGCTTTCATTCTCTTGCACCAAAGGAACGAAAGGAGTCAGACACAGCGGTAGTAGGAGCGACGGTGGAAGCGAGAATGGTGGAATCGTGAGTCGGTGGGGATGAAGCTTTCATTCTGTTTGTAGCACCACCGGAAATCAAGATTTGGGTGTAGTACCATCGGCGATTTGGGTGTGTTCCCTACTGGAAATAGGAGAAGATGAGCAGGTGAGCGAAGAAGAGGAAATTAATGGTGGGGATGAAGGTGGGGTTGAGGACGAACATGATTTTGAGGATGCATCAATAAATGGTCTGTTCTTGATTTCACGAGAGAGAGAGAGAGAGAGAGAGAGAGAGAGAGAGAGAGAGAGAGAGAGAGAGAGAGAGATGTGGGCCCAAATTAATTAATTATTTTTTTTCATTTAAATTAAATAGAAAAAAGCATAAAAAATATATCAGAAGGGCATTATAGTCATTTCAATTTTACGAGGGACCAAATTTACGTACAAACATGACAAAAAGGACCACGAATCCAAAAAAGTCGGGGTTTGGACTAAAACCCCAAAAAAATGCATACCATAGGGACCATTTTTGCAATTTTGTCAAAAGGATATTGATGAAAAAGTTGTATCCTAAAGAGTGATCAACTAAGTCAAACTTGAGACTAATGACACCAGAAGGTTTGGAGGGTTCAACAACGATTCCCTCTACTCTAATAATAAGATCTTAAACTTCTATCACAAAAACTGTTTCAAGAATATTAGGGCCTGTTTGATATGTAATTGACTAGGTCCGGTCAGTACTTTTGGCTGACTCGGTCCGATCAACCCGTTTGATAAAGGCCTAAATATGTCTGTTCAATGCTTTGACTCGGTAATGAAAAATCAGCTGATTTGGTCCTGAATAAAAAAGAGACCAACTAAAATTTTTCACAATTTGCCCATCTTGAACGACATATAGATGCTCGCTTCCTAGCTTGCAACCTCGTTCCTTCACTGTCCCCTTTCTCCATCGACGCCGACCCTTCCCTACTCAACAATGTCTTCGTCCACCACCCTCCTCCTCTCTGACGCCTTCCTCCACCATGGCTGACCTGCAACTCCGAGGGTAATTTCTTTCGCCTTTTTTTTTTTTTTTTTTGAAATTAGATGCATATATGTATGTATTTTCTGAAACTGGATGTTATTTGTGTATGTATTTCCTGAAATTAGATGCTATTTGTGTATGTATTTGCAGAAATTTTATCCTATTTGTGTATGGATTTCAGAAATTTGATTAATCGCATTTATTGTTTATCACTTGTCTTCAAAATAGGCACGATTGTAGTTGCTTGGATTAGATTGGATGTTGCTTGGATTGGATGTTGAATTCACGGTTGTTGTTGCTATGATAAGGTCTCTGGTGACAAATCTACTGAAGTAATTAAAAAGTAGTGCAAGTGGGTGAAGAAAAGGTAAAAAGAGGGCTTGCATTGAGTTCATGGTTGTTGTTGCCGTTCTTGTTCTTAGTTCTTAGTTCTTACAATAAGTGGCCTCATATGGGCATTCCATGCTTATATCAGCTGAAGACGACACAAAGCTTTTTGCATATTCAGCCAACGAGTTCACCAACTTTGGTCCCATGATATCTGTCCTGCACCACAAAGACTAGTCATTCAGGTGGTGTGCAGTAATACTAGTATCTATGCTTCTGGTCCAGTCTTCAAAGTGGTTGGATATGCTTTTGGTTAATGTGAAAGGAGGAGATGGTGTTTCGACTACTGATATGGTGGCTCGAGTGAAGAGCAAATGTAACATCCCAAATTTCAAGACCAAAATTTCATTTTGATATAACAATTTGGAAAACATTTATAAGAAAACATAATTAAGTCATATCATTTCATAAAAACCATAATATCATGTCTCAAATCATATCGTAAAATAGTAACAATGTCAGAGTACAATCCCAAGAAATCTCATAGTGCGGAAATCCTGCGTGTGTGTGATGTGCCGCTACCGCGCCGACTCTTTCCCCTTCGCTGAAGAGGCACCTGAAACAAAACTGAAAACTGTAAGTACGAAGCTTAGTGAGTTCCACCATCATACCACATACCATACAATCTCATAACAAACATACTGCCGGGCAATTCTGGGGTGCCCGACCTACCCGGTCAAGCAGTTTTAAGGTGCTGACCTACCCATGCCAAGCCATTCTGGGGTGCTAACCTACCCATGTCAAGCCATTCTGGGGTGCTGACCTACCCGTCGGTCCTAACAACCGAACCCTGGGGACTATCTCACCCCATGCTACTACTACCACATATATCATAACATAACATACTGACATGCATATCTGGGGTGCCCGACCTACCCTTCGGTCCTAACAACCGAAGGGGACTATTCCCTCCCTACTACCACGATCACATATAGCATATCATGCTAGCACATAACATATCAGGTAATAGCAAACCTAGATGAATATCACAAAGACAATCACCTACCACACAACTCCTACTAGTGGGTCGACATTGTGGCCGTAGACCCACCGCTACTGGAAGGTAACCCACCTCGATGTCGTGTAGTATCTGCACGGTCCTCGGCACTGGAATCGACTCGTCTCTACTCCCCAATCCCTACACAACAACCTTTTCCGATTACTGTTGCATACTCATAACCCATACAAGGGTCAATCCAAATCCAAGTCAAAGTCAAGGTCAAACCCTAGTCAAAGTCAACATCCAGTTGATTTGACTCGCCGAGTTGGTCCACCAACTCGTCGAGTCCCTATCCTTTCAAAGTGATACAACCCCCGACCCTACTCGTCGAGTCTAGCAAGAACTTGACGAGTTCGCCTTCAACCATAGCATCGGGACCATCTTCAACCGACTCGCCGAGTTCATCCTTGAACTCGTCGAATTCATCTTTGTCTTATGAATATGTCCAGTCTATGACTCGCCGAGTTCTATGAACAACTCGTCGAGTCCGTCTTCATGAGTTGGGAGATTGCCTTGGACTCGCCGAGTCTGTTCATACACTCGCCGAGTCCTATGATTTCCAGATCCAAAACAAACCCCTAGCAGGCTGAGTGTTCCTTCCACTCAACCAAACCGTTTCCAGAAGTCGTTTTGGGGGAAAAAGCGTCCCAACTCGCCGAGTCACCCAAGTGACTCGCCGAGTCCCTCTTTGTCCAACACTATACAGTCGATTATAATGGGTCTTAACGCGTCAAACCATAGATCTGGCCTCCTAGGGTTCCATTTATACGTAAAGCTTCAAACTTGATGCACATGCATAGGGCCTTTGGCTCAAAAAGCCATAAAAGGAGGTCTACAAGATGCATGGGGTGTTTATGGCAACAAAGTTGGCACCTTTATGCCATAAAGACCCCCAATAGCCCCAGATCCGAAGTGCAACTCTAAGCACACCCACAAAATTCGATTTTTGCTT